AGGCCCTGAGGATTCTAGAGACAAATGGCTTCAAGAAAAAATGTAAAAGTGGTGGTCAGCAGTAGCTGTTTGCATCGAAACATTGGAGTTGATGCTGTTTCTCTTTCCAGGGATGTATTTAACAAACATGAACTGAACCCTTCATTCCACTTTCCTCTGAACAACAGTGGCACAGGTTTGTCAAACAAATAAAACAGAACTACCAAATACTTGCCTTTATGACTTACCACTGGACCAAAGTGATGATTACAGTCTTCTACCCCACTGGGTTTGCCTGAAGGAGTCATAGCATGTGTTTTTCCACATCCACAATAGATCTTCTTAGAAGCTAAAACAAACACAAAGTAGAATTATTCATGACTAGATGGGGGGGGGGAGAAAAACAGACCCAAATGCAAAAACCTGCCTTTGCATTCTTGATCCTCTAGCAGGCACATAGCCAGTGTGATCACAAAGTGACAGGATTACTTAAAGGAGAACCACTGGTGAGCTGCCTGTGGCACCAGGGCTGCTGCTGCTCACAGGGCCTCCCCTGTCCACCTGTGGAGTCAGCACAATGCCAGGCAATTGTGGTTTTAGCACAAGTTGACTACAGCCAACTTGATCATTCACCCACTTTAACATGTAACAGTCCCTGAAATAGGAGTCAGGGCTTCTTTATTATCTTTCCACTGTCTCCCACAATGATCTCCATTTTTGTTGAGAGTGCATTGGCCTTTTCACTAGATCCTTGTATGAATATTTGTTTTCTATTAATGATCCTTGAACTGCTTCTAGTGATGATGCTGAGGGCATCTCCTATTTGAGTATCTATTGTGAGATCAGGCTATGAGGCAGGCATTGTGCTCAGCACTTCACTTCATGACTTTAACTAATTGTCATAGCAACCTGATGGGATGATTACCATCACCCCCTTATTCACAATGAGGAAACCAAGCATGAGAGAGGTGAATGACAGTTGACATCCAACCCTGGTTTGCTTAATGTCCTCCTCCTCCTCGTTTTTTTTTTTTTTTTTTTTTTGGAGGGTTAGGATGGCACCAGGGATTAAACTCAGGGGTACTTGACCACTGAGGCACATCCTTTGCCCTATTTAGTATTTTATTTAGAGACAGGGTCTCAATGAGTGGCTTAGCACCCTGCTTTTGCTGAGGCTGGCTTTGAACTCACAATCCTCCTGCCTCAGCCTCCCAAGCCACTTGGATTACAGGTATGTGCCACTGCCCGGCTCTCTTCTTTGTTCTTAACCACAAAATACACTGCCCTCCACCAAAGGGATTTCAAGAAACAAAGCCAAATGAGACAAATAAAAACAGTAAATGTCGAAGATGATTCCAATGATTAGTTTTAAAGTTTCAAAATATGAAGATTAATATTTTCTAGTTACTGAAAAACATTTCCATGACTGCATTTCAAACTCTGATCATTGATGGATGGTAAGCATTCTGTTTCCCTCTTTTTTATACGGATGTACACACTAACAATACCTAGTATTTGGAGGAAAATGCAAGTAAGAAAAAAATAATATTTTCTTAAGAATTCATAATGACAGGGTATGCAGGGTTCAAAGCATGGTACTGGGTATCTATGCAAATAGTGGCTCAGAGTAGGAGCTCTGGCTTTGCACGCTGTGGGCTTAAACCCAGGCTTATTTGGTCAGTGCCCTTTAACTGTCAGATTCTCATTTGTTAACAGTACCAGCCTAAAATGGTTGCTGTGAGGATTTAACAAGATAGGTTACTTAAATAAAATAAGCACTCAGATAATGAAAATGGGGTGAAATGGAAAAGGAAATAATAGGCTTTTACCAATAGCCTAATTATGCTGGTCACAAATCTCAATTCCACTAAGAAATATCAGAACAGTTGGCCTCCTATGTTCCAGTTTTAGCATGTAGAAAGGGTGACTTAAGTTCAAATCTACTTAGCGTGATTTACAAAAGTTTTTGTCATGCCTGGGTTTAAAACAATGCTTCCTGATTTGTCAAGATTTGGCATGTAACTGTTCTTCAGTTAGAAGGCAGTAGTCTTTAAGATGTCTTTAGAGAATAATTCCTGTGAGCACTCAGAAAAAAAAGATGAGTTGTTCAATGAAATTTAAATAGCACTTTCTCCCCTTTTAACATAAAAGGGAAAGTAATGTTGGAGTCTGTTAACCTTTTAGATATGATTAATATTAAGTAAGGCAATGGCCTCAAAGAATTCCAGGCCTGTATACCCATCATTCAATCAAAAATAAAAAAATAAAAATAAAAAATACAGTATATTTCCCTGTACCACCTTACATTATATGCTCTGTGTAAGGGGGGAGTAAGAATTATATCAGTAATACCTGGTTCATAATGAACTTAGGACTTTGACTTAAACTCTACATTATCTTAGGAATGTTGGGGTGCAGCGGAGCGTCGGAGGGGAGAAACCACACAAGAGACTCACTTCATGCAATCGCAGGGGGGAAGTTTATTGAGGATCCTGTTCCAGCGCGCTGGGACTCTGTGCCCACTCAAGAAGGGAGAGCGGCTCAGAGCCCAGAGCGGAGGTCAGGTGGAGCTTAAGTACACTTTTTGGAGGGGGTGGGGGGGCTTTGCATACATCAGAACAAATCATCATAAGGCGAGGGAAAATTGAACAACAATTCTGAAACATGATTAGTACATACATTGGCGGGAACAATTTAGGCAGAGATGATTGGTCATTTCTAAGTGGGGTACAAATTTAAACTGATTGGTTCTGGGGCCTAGATGCGTACGTGCCATGCTACCTAGAGCCCTTAGCTATTAAACAACCAGGGAATCAATGGAGACATTTACTAGGCAGTTCCCTCATTGTTCTAACAACTTTACAGGGATTACAAGTTCTGGGGATAGCAGAGGAATTGTAACAATAGACTTGTATGATTGTAACAATTGTCTTTTACTTTTTAGCCCAGGCCTTGTAATCTAGAAGCTTTACAATGCCCTAGTCTCTTACTCTTTAACTCAAGCTCTTGCAGCTTGGAATCAGCTTAGAATTTTTACCTTTACAGCAAGATAAGCATATTGACCTCATTTTTAAAGATGAGGCTCAGAAAAGTAAAGACATGTAGGCAAGTTTAGATAGCACAGAGGATACATAACCCAGGTCTTCAGCTTAGTGATTCTTAATACTGTCCAGTTAGGGATACCACAGAACCCTACAAGCATGAACCATAAAGGATACATCCTGATTCTCACATGGCAGAAGAGTTCAAGTTCAAGGATCTGCTTCCAACCACAGAACCACACCCACATTCCCTCATTCTAAGAGATTGCTTTTAAGTTTTCTCTAATTTCTTATTAAATTCTCTAGCAGAATTTGCTAGGCACTCTTTGGCAAACCCTTTTGTAGAAGAAAAATTCTGTGTGAGAAGTTATTAGGTGATTCTAAAATGTCTAGATTGCTTTAGTTTTCATATAATAAGATTTATTGGAGTTTGAGAAGCATAACCATTTGGTTTTACTCAAAATACAACCAAATTCAAACAACTCTTTTTCTCTAGCTTCTTGCCCTGGGAGCTGGTTATAGATTTAGGGCTGAGGCCCTTTCCTGACCTAATGGACCAGAATCTGCCTTTTAACAAGATTCCTATGTTCCTGAAATGCCAAGGTCTCGGCTTGGCACCAGAATCACGAGCCACCACACACCTTTGTAGGTTCAAACAGCAATTCTTTTTT